GGTTTTGTCACACAGACCTGGCAACCCTGCCTACGGGTCTATTTTCACAATTAAACTGCTTAACTGCAAAACTTCCCCTTTTTCACCCTCATAGGCAACTGTGCTTTTCGCTGCACTCGCCCAACACTCTCACTCCCTCATCAGTGACTCAGCATCAGGGAGCTGCAGCTGACCTTCTGACTCAAGACAACAAATACACATACAGTCGCTCGAGCCACACCATTTCCTAAAATCCGAACACTTCCACTTCCCCCAGAGTATGCAAGTACACAGTGTGGCTTTGAGCAACATCATCCCACATCCTCTGACTCACACACTACTGGTCTTCTCAGAGAAAGGCAAAACTCCCACCACAAACCTGTTCTGTAGGCCAAAGAATGCAATTTAGGATGAGCTTCCAAGAATCAGACACTGCTAATGCCAGTGCAGAGGGGTCAGGCTCAGTGCGTTCCTTATTGGGCTGACTAGGACCATCTTCTACACAGGGCAACTGCTGTGGTATTGAAACTATTAGCCCTACAGACTCAGTACCTTCTGACTTCGTATTGAGAGCAGTACAGTTTGACAGCGTTGACCTTTCTCAACAAAACAAAATCCAAAATCCAAAAGTGTCCCACTGCAGCATTTGTTATGGGAACTAAAGGAGACTCAGACACAGAAAATTTCCTTTTCTCTAGCAAACTCAAAAATGTTTGCTTAAGATACCCTCTAAACCTCTGTCCGTAGAACTAAGGGACCAACTCGTAGGCACACAAAATGATGCCTTAACGATCATACTGTAATCTGGGTTTTGAGTCAGAGTTAAAGATGAATAAGCCTCCTGAGCTCTACCTGTGAGTACACACTGCAAAAGCAGTGTCCAGAATCCTTTAGGCCACACTAAGGCGATAGCAACACGCTCAAAGTGGGAAAAGTACCTTTATACTAAATCCTTGTTCCTAGCTACATCAAAAATGATGACTAGGTGTAGCTTGCGCAGCTTCAGATCTTGACCTTGTCGGGATCTCTGATCCCCCGAGTTGGTTGATGAGAAGGATCGCAACACATTAATCAATTAAAGTTAACATTTATTTAGAAGAGAAAAAAATTATATGAGCAATTCTCCGCAGGTATATCTGGCTCTAACTATTGCTTGGTCGAATACACAAGCACGTATTTCAGCGTTCAGTGTAAATAGCGTCTCCGAGCAGTAAAAACGCTGAGTTTTTATACACACATGTGAAAGCCATCCTCAGTGACAGGTGCAAATTATAATTAATAGACAAAAAGTAGAAACGAAATGAAAACTTTCATACCAAATAAGATATGAACCAAGACCAACTCAACTCCAGCTCCTGCAGTTTCTCCTTATGTACTTGTGTCAACCTCACCATTTCAAACCTTGGCTTAATGAGGAGCAGCTCCTACATGGGTCTGCTGGTTTAACTGTTGGAAAGGCAGAACAGGTAATAGTGTCAAAAGGAGTGTCAAAAGGCTCAATCTGTACGTTTGCGAGAAATGGAATTGCAATCTAGAATTAAATGGAAGCTATGGAAAGAGGTAAGGAGGTTCGAGATGTTGAGCTGTTGAGCATTTTAAAATCTGTCACGGTTTGAGTTCATGTCCTGTTTTATTTTGTAGTTTTCTGCCTCTTGTCTCCCTGGGTAACTTCACTTCCTGCCTTGTCCTGTCATCCCCTGTGATTGTCTGCCGTGTCATGATTGTTTCCACCTGTGTCCAATCACCTGCACCTCCCTAGTGTATTTAAGCCATGTGTGTCTCTTGTCACGTCATTGTTAATCGTCCGGAAGCCCCATGCCCCAGTCTGCGTTTTTGCCCCTTGGCCTTTTGAGTTGACTATTAAAGTCCCTTTTTGTTTTTAAAACTCTGCGTTTGAGTCCTACCTTCCCCTACGTACATTCCTGACTGTTACGACCCACGGTCTTGTCTGTGTTCTGTGTGTGTGTACATGTCTCTGCTGTGTGTGTTAATCCTCCTCAGGTGGAGCTAATTATCTTCATTACTCATCCGCCCTCCCGTGATCTCCTACAGCTGGTTCCTGTTTTCCCTTCCTCCAATCGCATCGTCCCATCAGCTGTATTTATGTGTTCCTGGTTGTTGAGTCCAGATCTCTCAGGCAGGGTGTAAGGTTGTGTTGGAGGTGCTCTTGTGAAATTGGTTTTACATGGTGGAGTGTTCTGGATTATTGAAAGTGTTAATCATTTGTATTTCTTGTGTCCTTCCCAGGGAGAACGGAAAGCACTTGGGAGTGTTAGGAAAGACTCCCTGGGCATAAATCACCCGTAGGGATATCTCCTGTTATACACACCAGGTTAGATCTGAGCGATCCACCCCCTGTATTTTTGGTTAGGGCGCCTCGCTCGAGCGCCAGAGTAAATAAGTGTTTTGTGTAAGATGTTGGGACAGGTAAGTGGTGGGGATTTTGCTAATTTCTTTGTTTTGGATCAGCTCAGCAGTTCTCCCATTTCCCTTTATTGTTTATTGTTATTATTATTATAATTATTACTATTATACTGGCACGCGCTAGCCTGTTTAAACCAAACCCGTTGGTGTGATTACTTGCGCCCACATCCGGTCTCTGGGGTTCTTGGCAGCGCGATGTACGTTCCCCTCCCCTCACGGGGTGCTGTACGTGCGTAACACTGACCAAAATAGACCTAACCACCTAAGCTGTTGTGGTTGCTTTTGAATCCCTCAGGCCAAAATAGTATGAAGCTATTAAACAAATTAAATATTAATTCAGTGGCTACTTGAAATGGTAAATTAAACCCCTAATAAAATGTTGTTACAGGTCTTTTCACTTAATACCCCACTTAGGTATAAAATATGTATCAGTCATTTAAAATGTGACGCTGTAGCCTACACCAACACATTAAAATACTAATGAAAAAACATTGAGTTTTGCTCAGCCAACAGAAAGAAGGCAGAGGCCCAAAAAACAGGTGGAGGGCCACCATCCCCTGACAGAGGCTGAGGAGCGGGCCCTCAGCCGAAGCAGTGGTCACCCGGTGGCTGAAGGTATCCCTGGGGGAAGCTCATCCGAGCCTGTCACCCCCCAGGACACAAGTGACTACATCAGATGCAAGTATACACTTAAAAAAAAATAAAACGAATATATACACTTCCGTTCAAAAGTTTGGGGTCACCCAGACAATTTCATGTTTTCCATAAAAAGTCACCTATTTATCAAATGAGTTGGAAAAATGAATTAAATATAGTCACGATATTGACAAGATTAGAAATGATTTTTATTTGAAATATTAATTTTGTTCTTCAAACTTTGCTTTTGTGTGAAAGGATTTTCTATTCACATATTCCCCTTCATCGAGTGCAGTAATAATATGTGTCCCATCTATGCATCCTATCACATTTGGAAGCCCTGCAAAATGACAGCTAATTAAGCTTCTGAGGTCGCAGCAGAATGTACATCATAATTTAAAAATATATATTCTATGATTTCTACATCAGTCACCTGCAATCCTGTGGAATTCCTCTTTGATGGTTCTAAGAGGTTTGTGTCCGGGAAACACGCGTGTCATTGCGAGGGGAACTTTCCTCACAGCTCTACAAACTGTTGCCTTACCAAAGTGCTCTGCATCCCCGATGTTGTAAAGAAAACTACCATTTGCAAAAAACGTAGCGCGATGGATAAGATTTCCTCCGATGTGAGTGCACGTCCTCATGTTAGTGAGATAAATGAAACCTTGTGAGGAAAAGCTGTAGCGTTCTAACAGAAATTCCTCTGGAAATGATAAAACATCTAATCTGGGTCGGAAGACTCTCTCGCGATGTAAAGCATTTAGAACCACTAAGGCTTCGATGTCAATTGGATTTGGTAGGAATGGGCAATCCGTGTTGACCAGCTTTCTTCATGTGGGAGGAGACGGTAGAAACTCCGGGTTTCTTATAGTAAACCTGCCAGCAAGCAGGTTATGTTCAGAGTGTTACCGTGGTGATTGACTCAGTTTGTTACCTCTCTATCTGGAACGGATAGCTCTGTTTCCCTCATCTCACTTACTCTGAGTTTTCACATAACCCGCTTTCTGGAATACTGTGGCGTTATATTTGTGCCACAATCCTGAGCGCGTAATTTTAAGTTTTGAGCACAGAGAACTATATTTTAGCAAAGAAAAACGTATTCCGTGCACGCAGTTTAGCGAGCGCAGAGTGAAGAGGTGGAGAGAGCGCAGCAACGGCTGCCTGCGCGCATAAAACGAGTTTGTGGAGAGGGCACCTGAGTAAACTGCGCGCACGGAATGTTTTTCTTTGCTAAAATATAGTTCTGTGCTCAAAACTTACAATTACGCGCTCAGGATTGTGGCACAAATATAACGCCATATGATGGTAACTCCAGCACGGCTACAATCGGATATTCTGAAAACCTGTTCAATGAGCAAGTTAAAGGCACTTTAAATAAATAAATGTCTGCATGCAGAGATGGCATGAATAGGAGCCATGAGCAAGTGATTGGCGGAGCCTGTCCAGCAGAGCTACAACTGTTATTTAAACAATGTTCTATGTCAACACCATGACAGTGGTTCAAAGTACAAAAATTATAATACATAATCATGTTTGCTTGAATTAAGAGAGAACCACATCAAGACAACACACTGCCGTTGTGTCAGCTCTTGTCTAAAATATTGGTTATGAAAAGTTGTCTTTGCATTGTCTTTTGCCATGTTTATTTAAACAAATGTTAAAATTTGTTCTATGGATGGAGACCGTACCAGTGTAACTGGAAATAAAACTGTTGAAATAAGGCTGACGCGAACGTAAACTAAAGGGTTATTTTTGTATTTGATTAAATATATTTAGCAATACAATTGATTTTTTTCAGTTATTTTCTTCTGTAACATTTGTAAAAACTCAGCTCGTCAATTACATATTGGTGGTGGTACTGCTTTGTCTTATAATGATAGACTAAGAAAACCAACTTGAAGGAATTTACTATAAGCCTCCAGCACCCAAACTAAAGTTTCAATTAAGTAAGAAACAACAGGTTTTCTAACAATTGCTTTTAATGACAAAAATGAATCTAACATAAAGCACCTACATGTGGCTGTGTCATGCATAGATATAGAACATACTAAAACATGCATTATGTGTTGACACTGCTTAAAACAAGAAACTAAACGTACAAAGATATAGAAAATAGTTTTTGTAAAATGAAAAATACAGTACATGAATGAACATTAAAACAACTATATTTTGAGTCAGAGTTAAAGATGAATAAGCCTCCTGAGCTCTACCGGTCAGTACACACTGCAAAAGCAGTGTCCAGAATCCTTTAGGCCACACTAAGGCGATGGCAAAACGCTCAAAGTTGGAAAAGTACCTTCATACTAATGCCATGTTCCTAGCTACAGGAACATGGAACTATGGGTAACATACATATTGTTAAGAAATATAACTTCAACGCACCATAGAAATTCAATGCACCACAGCTTAATATTTAAGTGATTGGTCTTTCAGCTTTGTTTAGCACATGTGACACATAATGTGACAAATCCTGTCATTTATATTCAAACATACATTTTCATGAGTGACTCACTATTAATGTAGTTTTGTGCAAATTTAAAAATCCAAAATAGAGCATAATGTTCCAAAAATGAAAACACATGTTCTAATAGCTGTTTAGCTTATTAGCTTATTAAAATCACAGACACATTAATCACACAAACATTAATCTTGAAAACAAATAGTTCACCGTGATGAGTGTCACCATCTTGCGGTGATTACTAAACATTGGTAATTGCAACCACCAGTTATGCAAAAGATTTAGATCATCCTGTCATGAACTTCATGGACATTGTATATAATAATTCTTTTGATGCTCTGCTACTTCACAATTTGAGAGTAGTTTTATTGATGTGCATAAGTTAACAGACTAATATGTGGACTTAGTGAACAAGCTCCAGCCTGATAATTGATAATGGCTGTCCTCTGCTAAGAGACAAGGAATATTGCTTTTGATAACTCCACAGTTGTTTTTTAACAAATGGTGTTAATCCAAAACTCAACATCTATAAATTAGCTGCATGTTAGATTAGTTAGTAAATCGTCCGACCCTGAACATAAAGTCTATAATCTTATATATTCGTATGACACTTAGAAATAATGAAATAGATGGACTGGAGAATAGAGTCGTGGTTGAGATCTGTGAAGACATTTACTTTAACGTCATCAAAGAAGTAGCTCTTCCCAGGGACCAGTTTTGCGTTGCTGCAGCCATCGGTTCCTGTACTCAGGGTGTGAAGCCCGCTCCTGGGTATCACACTGCCATTCCTTCCATGGATTATCAACACACTGTTGAATACGATCCCATTCAGGCCGTCCCTTTCCACAATCCCGACTTGCACTAAACGGATATATAAACACACACCAAATGTATATATCTACATAGATTCATCAACAGCATTTGTAAAAAAACAAAAAATGATATCTTACGTTTGCCACAAAGATCCGTCTCATTCAAATTGCCCAAAGATCGAAGTATGGATTCTAAAAAAGAACATTATATGTATATATTATTATCAGATGCAGAAATCGTAAGATAGAACGACGGATCCAATCCTCTTTTGTGAGGTAATGCCTAAGCGTCGCACAACTGATCTTTAATAATATTCTTACTCGGATGCTGTCCTCGTGGAGGCACAGCGCTCAGCGTCCCTGCACAGCATGACCATAGGGAGGTGTTGTAGTAGAGGTGACCACAGCATTCAAATTTCGTCTTGTTGGAGTAGAGCACCTCCATGTGCTCACTCAAACAGCATACGTTCTATTTATATAGTTATAAGAAACAAGTGTCACTTTGAAAAGATATGCTTGTTTGCCATCTCCCTGAAATGTCAACACATTGATGTCCACGATACACCATGCACAGCAAGTTGAACTTGTTTCAATGCAATATTCCACTTGGTGTAAGATTCTCTGCAGGACTTCTATCGCTGCCAATATCAATAAAAATACTGGGGGAAAGAGTACTTCCTATGTTAAAGAAAAACATCACATTATTCAAGCAAAGTCATTAGCATTCGCATTACCACTATTATTATCATCAATAAAATGTACCGGTTTGTTTTGCAGGATGGAGCCACAGCACTGCGCCTCTGGTACTTGAGTGAGGTTGTGCAATGTTCCTGCGCAGCACTTCATTCCTGGGTCTTTAATGTCGTAGGCTTTTGACCCACAGAAGTGAGGAGTCCTGAGACAGGAGCTTAATGTTACTATCAAATCAGATGAGTGGGATAAAGATGTTATAATAATCATCATCACAATGTTATGAAGACAAAGCCTTTTACATTCAAAAGAGGTTGAGCTCAAATATGCTCCTTCTCAGGCATTAAGTATGCTGGTGGTCAAGATAACTTCTGCACACAAGCATTGAAGTGAGTACATAAATTCAGCAGCAAACATGAGTACAATTACCAAGAGGAAACGGAAGGTCAGGCATTCAAAACTGCAGCTGTTAGCCTAAACACAGACATTCCATTCTTTGGTTATTTTTAAAGTTTCCGAGGAACAATTAGAAAAAGGCAACCGGCCAGTCTATTTGCCTGTCTTTGCAACAGTATGAAACTACTCCTGAAGAATTTTCCGTGCCACTCCTGTCTGTGTTTCCCAACACTCATTTTTTAGCTTTTGACGACGCACATGTCTTGACATATCAGACACTGCAAAATAACAAGGGGATTAAAATAGAAGTACAGAAAAGTTTATACCCTCTCACTGAAGATCATCAGAATTTTCCGGCTTAAGTGCAAACACGCATAATCACCTTGGTCCATCGCAAATGATCCCCGCGTGAGGCCGATAAACTTTCGTCCTGCAGCTATGTTGTCCAGGCGGGCCATGAAGCTGAGAACAATGAATAGTCAATAAATAAATAGCCTTCGATTACAAAGAGTGCTGATCCCTGAACATTTCTCTCCATCACTACATTGTATAAAAAAAAAGCTTCTCTCCACCACATTTAAAGAATCAGCAAAAACACAGACTCAAGCAGATACAGTCATAACCTCATTTAATGAGAAAATGTAGAGTCATTTTGCAGTGTGCTAATCCATCAGACAAAAAACATAAGCGCTGTATAAACTTTGAGTCCTCTCAAAAAAGCCGGCCCAAATCTTTTTACAGTAACATTACTGTTTACACAGTAATACAAATAATAATACATTTTATTTATAACGCACTCTTCATCAACAGATTTCAGAGTGCCACAGAGATGGCAAAACAAAGGTAAAACCTAATTAAAATAAAGTAAAAGCTAGTAAAGACATCTGTCCTGAATAAGTAGGTGACCGTACTGCACTCAGGTGGTCAGGTAGATCGTTTCATTTGCGTAGTAGAAAGTAGTAGAACTTTGTAGTCAATCCGGAATGAGACAGAGAGGCAGTGTAGTGAGTGTAGGATGGGTGTTATGTGCTCATATTTCCGGACAGTAGATACACTACTGTTAGTAGTAAATATCTAATTTTTACATAGGTTATATTAAATAATTGTGCTGCATTTCCGTAAACCAGAATTTGTATCAATTAAAAATGTCTTAAGGGAGCCATTGTCACGGTTTGGGTTTGTTTCCTGTCATATTTTGTAGTTTTCTGCCTTTTGTGTCTCTGGGTAACTTCACTTCCTGCATTGTCCTGTCATCCCCTGTGATTGTCTGATTGTTTCCACCTGTGTCCAATCACCTGCACCTTCCCAGTGTATTTAAGTCATGTGTGTCTCTTGTTCCCTTGTCACGGTCATTGTTGAATGTCCGGAAGTCCACGTCCGAGTGTTCCTGTTTCGTGCCTGTGTTTTTTCCCCTTGGCCTTTTGATTTAGAAGTTTGACTATTAAAGTCTTTTGGTTTCCTTGAACTCTGCGTTTGAGTCCTGCCTCCCCGCACTCCCGTGACAGCCAAAGAATGTGGAAATTCCGTTTTTGAGGAGTGTAACGTGCATAAATTCATTGCATACTACAATTCCCACAAAAACAAACATTGTTTGACTTAAATGAGACAGAAAATGTTGAATTAATGAAAAATACTCCACCCCAACAGTAGTAATTAACTTATTACTTGATCTGTCGAAGGGTTCCAATCAGACACACAGCGTCCACAGCAGACACCTATGTGTGGGTTAAACACAGCAGTGGCATCAGAAGATTGACCTACACAGACAAAAAAAGAAAGAAGAAAAAACTGTTGGTTCATCAGAGGGAGTGGAGAAAAAATGACTCAAGATTTGAGAATGACAGAATGGAAATTGAGCGTGACAACTGGGACATCTGTAGGAATTTTTCCAGCAAGGGAGTTTTCAAACTTCAAACGCCACAATGGGTGGGAAACCTTAAGTGGCATTTCCCATCATTAGTTATTTTGTATCGAGCTGAATATTGTTAAGAAAAAAACAACTGACGCAACTGGGAGCCCTTCCAAGCGGTATGGATTAACAAAGAAGAGGGATGTTACACTCATCTACTTCCCCATATTCCCAAGATCCAGGTCTAAATAACAAAGGAGTAACTATCAGAGCGATTATGCCTCATCTAAGTGGAGATGTCTGAGGTTTATGTTTCACATTTTAATGTCACCAAACAACTCCTGTCACAAATCCTCCTGCCAGGTGTCCTCGCATTACAGTGATCCCTCGCCACTTCGCGGTTCACTTATCGCGGATTCGCGTATGTTCGCGGATTTTCATATTGCATTTTTTTTTTTTTTGGTGCATTGTGCTCTGCATTCTGATTCGCTAAAAACTCACTCCCGAGCCGTTCATTACAGTTCTCCAACGTAATCGATGGTGGCATGTCGGTGTACAAGGATCTTTTTGCAAAGAAGAAAAAAGAGCGACAACAGCTGCCTATCACTATGTTCTTCTCCCGAACAAACACACCTGCACCGCGGGCTTCAGAAGAAGAGAACACTGCAGAGCGCAGTCAGGATGCAGCGGCCCAGTCTGAAGAGCAGTGAAACGGCCTACACGCGAGTCACTGTATTTGTATACATGTAATAGTTGCTAATTGTAAAAAAAAAAAAAAGTTTTCTATTTCGCGGATTTCACTTATCGCGGGTCATTTTCGGAACGTAACCCCCGCGATAAACGAGGGATTACTGTATACCAAAGTTGCCTTGATAACAAATAGAAAAAGCAATATGTTTGTTATTTATGCTTAGGCATACTTTAGGATCTAAGTCAGAGGAAAGGAAAAGTGTCAGCAAGTTCAGACAAAAATGTCCTTAACTTTCCCTGCATTCTTCTAAAATAAACAAATGGAAGGAGTTAACATAGTTTTCAAAGCTGTTCTTATTAGATGTCTTATTATTTGGTTCCAACCAATCGTTCTTCAGTGTGCAGTTTGTCATTTAGCATCAGACCTGAAGCTGTGCTCTGACATAATTTTATACCTGCTGGACTAGTGTCAACTTTGCAAAAACTAAAGATTTAAACATTATGATCCATCTGAACCCTTAATCTTAAATAAACAACATCACTGAGGTTAGCTTTATTAAATAACTGCTGTGGATTGCATTATGCTGTCTAATTATTGTATCCAGCCAAAATATATTATAGTGTGTTAGTTACTAGTTACTCTAGATGCATTGAGATATTTTTATGATGCAATCAATTTTGGACAGTTTTTTTCATACCTTTGGTTCCACACCTGTGGAGATAAAGTACATAGAGTAAAGAGAAGACAGTGAAGGCAGTGTAAGTGAGTCAGTGACTCATCCTGCATGTTCAGACATTTAAGTTTTTAACCTAGGGGACGGACACACTTGGCACATATCAGAGAAGGCTTAAGAATTTCCTCTTTGATGACACTTATAGTTATGGCTGACTCAGGTCTTCCTTAGTCCAGCCCCTAGATGTTGCACTTATGTCCGTCCTGTGAAAGGGATAATTCCTATTTTGCTCTCCCTGTTAAAGTGTTTTGGGGGAGTTTTTTAATCTACTGATCTGATGGTCACGGTACAAAGAACGTCATATGACTACAGATATTGAAGTCCCCTGGGACAAATGTGTGATTGTGGGCTATAGGAAATAAATTGAAATTGAATTTAATAGTCTTTTCTCCTTAGTGACTGTTAGCATTAGGGTCCTCCCTCAAAACAGTAATGTGGCTCAGTCTGCGTGTTCAGACATTTATGTGATTTGTCGCCGTGCCTGAACCATGTACTCACCCTGATCCCGACGGCAGCTGGAATTGATCTGTTGTATCTGAAGACCTTCCTTTGTCAAACAGCAGCACTCCTTGTTGGTGTCGAACCGGTTACGTCCACAACAGAGGTGGTCAATAGAGATTCTCTCCAGGATTATCTTGTCATCAGAAGGACCACAACACAATTGTGTGTCGTTATTAAACGCCTCTGTGGAAGCGATAGACCACAACACAGCTGACATGAGTGAGAGTTCTTCACCAAGACCGTACACTTTGATTAAGCTCTACTCACGTTTACCACAGCATTGGGCATTTGATACATTTTTGCTAACAACCGTTGATTGACAGCATAGTTTGTCGCTTGTGTTGTAGGTGTTCTGTCCACAGTCAGCTGTAAAGACAAAAGACAAAACATGCAAACTAATTGGTTGCAAACTTCTTGTTCCTTTTTAATTGATAACTATTGTCTTTCAAAGATTTCTATAAACATTGGAGACGTGCGAAGGCTCCTATACACATTGATACCTTAGAAGAAAATAGACAATAGTAAGAAAAGACCCTGTAACATCTTTGGCTGTCAATTGTATAATACCATATTGACATGCACGCAGTATTGTATAATTCTAAACCCCATTTATTTTACCGGTAAGTGAGAAATAGAAGACACTCTTGCAATAAAATCACACCTGAGCTTGTTTCCTTCATGATTTTCTTAACAGCAGTGCGAGTTTATCAACATCTTTCTACTTGCATATCTGTTTTTATATTTACATCATATTTGGAATTGAAATAACAATAATAAACATGAATTTAAGAGAGCAATCCTAAACAGATTTCAAAGACTCATGCAACTTTGTCTGATCGTTAAGGTAAGCCGTTCAGAAGTACCCTTCTCGCAGCAGCTGGAATCCTTGGACCATATGCTTAGACTTTCATTTATCGAACAGCAGCATTGAGTCGTTGGGTTAAAACTGTTTTGTCCACAGCATCGGTGGTCTGAGGATTCTTTTGTTAGGATTGTCTTATTGGTCAGCGGTCCACAACACATCTGCTCGTCGACATCAAAAGCCTCTGTAGAAAACAACAACAAGGTACAAGGTATTCTAAGCTGTTTAGGTGCAGTTTGATACTCTGTGAACAAACATCTGTGTCATATGTGTCTTGTTAAATTTAAAACAAATAGAGACCTGCCATAATCAAGTAGTAGTTGTGGGAAAGATACATTACAGTAAGGAAAGGAACTTGTATAAGGTAAGTGCATACTGTTTGTATGATGCTTTACATAAATCATGTCGAGCTTAACTCACTTTTATCACAACATTGGGCGTTTGGCCCAGGTTTGACTAGGATGGTTCCGTGACAGCATATTTGATTGAGCTGGTCGTATGCCTTCAGTCCACAGCAAGCTGACACCTTTTCACTAAGGCCCTCTGTAAAAATAAATTGCGAAATACAAACAGAGATTAATTTGAGATCCAGAAACCAGCACCACAGTAGCAGCTCAAGTGCCGTGTGATGCAATAGGTTCAAAAAGCCGTGCTGGGACCCTCCCAAGGTTCAGAAAGCGGTCAAAAGTACAATACAAAACACATGTCTGGTTCTGGACCTTTATTCTTAAAATGGAGCCGCAAAGAGGGGAAGCAAGGGGAACAAGCATGCGTGATGGTTCCTACTATGAAAGTATTCGTAAAAAAGTGCATCTAAACAAATCTTCTGTACTGATAGCTTTAATTATAAAATACAAAAAGCAGAATAGCAAGCGCACTGTTGACCGTTTGAACAACAGCTATTTATTGGAGTCCTTTTAGATTTGCCAGAAAGGGTAGTGAATAATTGTTCATTCTATCCAGTGGGGCAAAACCCTAGATGTCTATCTGATAGTGCTGAAGCTAAATTTACAGAAGGGATTTCATCTCTATTTAATTTAAGACCATGTCTTAATATAACGGAGGACTCCTATGCTAACTGTAGTTCGTCCCAGATCGATCGCCTTGTCAATAGTGCTACAGGCTCACTGACACTAGACTATCGCCAATCTAAAACATAATAGAATAATACTAAGGAAGTTCAGTCCTTAGTATAACCCTCAAACCTGTAAATTAAAGCAAACATCACATACATATGAAAGGTTATAGCACTCCTTCCGTAATGCCAGAGAAGGCTATTACTTGTCAGAGAAAAATAACAACAGCCCCAGACTTCTCTTTAGCAGCCAGGCTGACACTCAGCTCTGTTAAACCGTGTATCCCCATAGAACTCAGTGGAAGTGACATAGCAGTATTAATAGACATCAACTTCTTGAATGATAATATTCCAACCATTGGAAAGAAAGTAAATAGTCTCTTGCCCTCATCAAGTACTTATCTGCGCTCTAATATAGGAACCGTAGAAAAAGCTGTGAACCCTAGTTTTGGATGGCTTTTCTCCCACCAACCTTGACAAATTCACTTCTACGATTTCTAAAACTTCCACTTATCAGACCTCATCCCAGCTATGCTGCTTGGAGAAGTTTATTTTTAGTTACTGCATCTTTACTAGATGCGATCTATCCGTCTTTACTAGCAGGCCATGTGCCCTCCTTTAAATCAGCTCCATTTTGACCTCTTCTTAAGAAGAGGTTAAAAATATGTTCATGCTTTTGTTCTTTTTACTCTAATTTGTTTCTTAAATCTCTTCAGTTGATTCAAAGTGCTGCAGTATATTTTAACAGAAAGTAAGAAAGGAGATCAAATCCCTCGTGTAAGTCTCTCTGTGATGGATAAATCAAGAATGATATTTAGAACCATAATCCTATTTGGTCAGGCACCATCATGCCCTAACCCTAAATGTAGATTTTTCTTGTGAGTTCTTATATAAAGATGTTGGTCAGGATCTGAAGATATCAAGCTCCTCTGTGAAACCGGATTACGTTTTTAACCTACGTGACGGACGCACTTGCCACATATCAGAGAAGGCTTAAGACTTTCATCTTTGATGACGCTTGTAGTTATGGCTGACTCAGGTCTTCCTGAGTCCAGCCCTTAGATGTTGCACTTGTGTCCGTCCTGTGCAACGTGATCTCCAAAACCTGTTCGTAAAAATGTATACGAAAATCTTGAACATACAAATTCGTAACAATACATACGAACAGACGGTGGTTAACCACGCCCCTTGAGTGAACAACATGGCGGACCATGTTCTTGAGTGAACGTCTCTCCGCCATGTTGGATTTTTTGAGGGGGTTAGGGTTAGTATGGGTTTGGGTTAGGGTTCTATTCTTACAAGTTAACATTGCTTTCTTGTTAAAAATGCAATCATAACACGTTTATTTTACATTGTTAGACTTCACAAAGTGTGTTTACGGGGTGCAGGTCCCCATTCACTTTGAATAGGGTGACGTCATCAGTTGCAGTCCGTATTTATTTCGTATGTATCACTACGAATTTGTATGTTCAAGATTTTTGTATACATTTTTACGAACAGGTTTTGGAGATCAGGCTGTCCTGTGAGAGGGATTATTCCTCTTTTGCTCTCCCTGTTAAAGTGTTTTTTGGGAGTTTTTTAATCTACTGAATCTACTGATCTGATGGTCACAGTACAAAGAACGTCATATGACTACAGATATTGAAGTCCCCCGGGACAAATGTGTGATTGTGGGCTATAGGAAATAAATTGAAATTGAATTTAATAGTCTTTTCTCCTTAGTGACTGTGTTAGCGTCAGGGTCCTATTTAACTAGTCAGCATCAGCTTATTTAGTCTGGTTGAGAAAAAGCACTACAGGAACAAGTTAGACCCTCTAGCATTATCGCCTTTGATAACGTTAATATGTATATTATTACAATTCCCCCCCACCTACAACAAATCCCCTCCCATTTTTTACCTGTTATGGTGCTTCCATTTTCATATGGGCAACAAGTGGCTTCTTCTGGGTTGAAAGCCTTCTCTCCACAATATGAGAGCTCTGCCACTGGATAGAGTTGATTCTCACAGCACACAGCTGTGTTGTTGTGACGCTGTATTTCCATACCGGTTGTTCTGCAAGACAGTCATTAGTATTGCATATACATTAAATATCTAAGAAATTCTACAATTTTGACATCTAAACATAGCCTTATTTTATCTTTGCACATTTCCCTCTTGTCCTTCTAGGAGGACCCTCTGGGTGTATTTTTTATTTTTTTAAGTTTTAAGAAACAACGGCCCACGGTGGGTCCAGCTCAACCTGCAGGATGACGTTGCTAGTGTGAGAATTACAGAAAGGCAGATTGCATTTCTATAAAAATAGCTGCTATTTATGATCCGTCCACAGTGAGAATGTACGTTGCTGCTCCTACAATCTGCCATTTAAAACTGCAGAACACTTTAGTGTAGCCTAATAGAAGAAAGAACGTCTAACTTACCGTTAACAATTCAAGCAGAAAATCACAGCCAGCAGTAAAAATTATAATATGTGTGATCATGACTAGTGTAATTATAGAATGATGTCTGTCTGAATTGAACATTAATTATAGAATGATGTCTGTCTGAATTGAACATATTGTTCATGTTGTATCTCATAAGTATCTCATGAGTCATTCAATACAGTACACATGACATCTGTCCACCCTGGGAGGAGGGTCTCAACTTTGGCAAAGACTAAGAATTTTTTCCCCATTGAAGGGTTTTTCGTGTAGGGGGAGTTTTGTCTGTGCCGTGTATAACTTTTCTTTTTTTTGCCTTTTTATTTTTTTCAATTTGTAAATGGTATTTCCTTCTGTCTGTTATTAAATCCTTTTGGATTTGTTAAACACAAGCCGGTCTATTCTTTTGGCTTTGCACCAGTAAGTAAAGGGAAAAGTATGCTGAGCCTTTGATCGGGAGAGTTTGATCCCACACTATAAAACTGATGCATCTAAGTGGACCAGAATACCAGCGAGAAGATTTGTAATAATAATAATGATAATAATACATTTTATATAGCGCTTTTCAGTACTCAAAGACGCTTTACATGGTTAAAATAAACCTAAAACAAAGACATCATATAAAAACTTTAGAAAATAGAAATTTGTCATTTCTATTTAGTTATTTGCAATGCTTGCTGTGCCTATACGTGTCCATTTCTGTGAGTAATTAGAAGAAATCAGAAGAAAAAAGTGATGTAAGGCTAACCGTATAAGATAAGATCCTACATTGTTTGGCCATCACAATGATAAGAGAGGCAAAATGAATATGGGAATGATCTAACAAAAAATGCAGACTAAGACCCAATGAGAAAGGCGTGGGGGCCCTCAGACAGCACAGTGGAATTCAGTGGTTTGCCTGGCTGCCAAAATGACTCACGCCCAAAGCATACCGGTCCTCAACGACATACACACAGAGACACATAAACAATTCTCATAGAAATACTGACCGGTTGCTGTCCCCTGAAGAGGCTACAGATGTTCCCTTGCCAGCCTCTGTGCACAAAGACAAATGTAAAAAGTTGTGTTTAAGTCTTTGGCACTATAACCCAGTGAGCACAAGACGTAATTTCAATGTTGAAATCGGGTTGAAATGAGGTCTGAACGTCTAAGACCTAATTTCAACGTCTTTTCACACGGCTAAAAAGTGGATGAAACATCAACGTGCCAAAAAATGTCAATTTGTTGATAAATGTGTCATGTTGTAACGTAAGGTTGAAAGAGAGACCATATGATGGCGGCAAATCACTGTCAAAATTCGAGAGCGCAAATCAGGTTGATGCGCGAGCAAAACTCCGTCTCGCGCGAGATATTTGCTCCCTCGCGAAACGTGAACTTCCTCGCTGGCGAGGTTAGTCTCTGCTCACGCTCGGAGGTGTTTTCTACGCGCTCGCTGTTTTTCTTTTTGACAGTAAGGGGGCGGAGACATTCACCATGGTATCTACATCTAATTGGTTACAATTAGATGTAGATACCGGCGTCACGCCAGTCAAGTGTTTTACTTTGAGGCGTAGTCGCGTCTGCATCAAAGCCAGCCTGACAAGTGGAGTTATTATCCGACTTAAAAAAACAAAGAATTGTCCAATATTTTGGTATATAAACATCCCAATGAGCACAATACGTAATTTTGACTTTGAAATCTGGTTGAAATTAGATCCGAACGTCTAATGCTGCGTTCCCGATTAGATTCCATGCAAAGTCAACGCACACACGCGACAGGTCGCGGAGGAAGCGAATTTTCAACGGGCGGCGCGAAGGACGCGAAAGGAGCGAAGCGGATGAATCGCCTTTTTCTTTGGGCTCTTTCCTTTGCCCGACAGTGTCTAGCCAAAGCCAACCAGCGTCGAGATGCCGCGCTCGTAATCCTCCGCCGTCCCGCCGCCACAGTGGGTGAATACACTGTATGAGACACACACACACAGCTGAGACTGAACGCCAGTAAATTAGTTGGTGTCTGACCGCAAGACGCCAGCACGACCGGCTGCTGGCCAGCCTGAAGTAGCGCTGGAAGCGGCGGCCATCCGGACACACTTCATGGAGGCCGGTGAAATTCAAGCTGTGTGCGGCGGCGGCGGGGGATGACGACCCGACCCCAAACACAACACAGAGCTGCCAACTCTCACCTCCGCCGTGTGACTCACGCGTTTGCATGTTTTCACACGCACACACCCAATATCTCACGCTGAGAAACACGGCCCTCGGTCAGAGCCGCGTTGGTTCCTCTTCAACCTCCACGACGGTACGTGGCGTTCCCCGCAGCGCCCCCGCCCCCCATGTCGGTCGTATGGCCACCCTCGACAAAATCCGGCGGTTCCGACGTTTGTGTAATTCACACAAACAAATAGAGACAGCAGAAATGGCGGATGTTTATTGCCACGGTGGATAGCGGAAACGATAGCTGTCTTTTATGGAGACAAGTACCGGCGATGAGCCACGCCCCCTTTCAGGAGCATGAAGCGAAATAACCGAAATAACTTACATGATGGAGGTTGTTCCTGCAGTGGTCCCGTCTTACACCTGGCTTACGAATCTCAATATTTGAATAATTTATGTTGAATGTACTGTACATCTTTAAGTTTTTCATTCTGTAGACCTCTGCTGTTCTCCCAGGCTTTTTTTCCATGTCAATATGAGGGTTTTGGGACAGAGGATGTTGCATGTTTACAGACTGTAAAGCTCACTGGCGCTAATTTGTAATTTCGGGTGCTACAAAATAAATTGATTTGAATGGAACAACACATTGGTACCGGAGGAATCTGCCGTATGTGCGCTTGAGGGGTGTTCTGCGCACTCTGACTTCCCTTTACACAAATATTCATGAGGGAGATGGAGCTGATTTGAGGTATACTATCCCAATTCAAGTTATATCAAGTATATGGCGATTTATAAAAATGGGCTAAAAATACAGAATTCTTAACTAACTTTTCCATGTTGTTTTTGCACTTTTAATTCCATAGTTTATTTTTGTATTCTGCTTTTACCTAAGAAAGTGTTGTGTTACATTTATATTATTTAGTAATAATGAATACAAATTAAGCAAAGAACGTGTTTGTTTGTCCTTGTTGAGGGCTATTAACAGGACAACTGTGACTACGTATGTATAACTTCTTCCCAGCGAGCAATTTGTCCGTTGAAAAGACGTCTATGGCCGACGTTGAAAGATGGTGAAAATCGGTCCACAAAGGGAAAACCTTTCACTGTTCAGGCAGCTTCATAAATTGTACTCACGCTTTGGCAGCAGGGACAACGTCCATCATGTAACCACTTTTCAGTTTAAGCACCTGCTTACAGACACACACGACGCACACACCTGTGGACAGACTCGCGCACAGAAGGTATTTAGAGACCTACCTGCAGTGAAGCGCACCCCTTCCCTTTTTTATATGTAAAAGTTCACTTAAGAGGCGATATTTTGATCCTACATTTAGTTGCGTAGCCTCGTGCATTTCAACCTATTCCCTGACAGATGTTTCTAGCCTTAAATGGGACTTGCCCGGTTCTTCGGGGTTAAAACAGAGTCAATCAGCCGCCTCATCCTCACTGACGGAATACCGCACATCCATACGGAAAATAAGGATAAGAGGACATATTTGCGGTGTGCCGTGTATAATGTTTCCCTCTGCAGAGACTCGGAGGCGTTATGCTGAACTCAAGTCAAAGTAAAGTAAAGTTATTTGCGCACATTAAAACAACACGAATCATCTCTATCATATCAAACCTCAATACCATCACTGAAACATGAATTGACTCCCATCTCCACACCACACACAGACGCACACGCACACACCGGCATCAAGATTTCAAGAAAAACTGGAAAAAAAACAACTTGAGTAAACAATATCTTAAATGAACAAGATCACTGAATTAACTTCATTAAGCCAAACTGTCTTATACTCACCAGCACGGACAGCGGTGAGGCTGCAAATCAGATAAACTGAAAGAATGTAAGCAGATGAATGATTATATTGTTATATTTGTATCAAGATCTCCCTGTTATAAATTAAAAAAAACACTTTTTTCACTAATCACTAATTTTTCGCATATCCTACCCAAGCCAAAAGCCAGAGGTGTGAGCATCCCGAAGCCTGTTTGGATCATCTGCATGCTGCTGAGAGAGTGATAACTGAGGAGCCAACAAATATTCAGGGCCTTAAATAGTGTCAATGAGTCACTCCTCCCATGCTTTGGCACTGATAAAATGCAGGTTCGCGTGACGCATCGAGTTAATGCGCAACATAGAATCAGAATCAGAAATGTGTTCTCAGAATCTGACTACATATATATAGAAATATATTATAGATATATTTGTTACAGGAAAGTGTGCAAACGTGATTAAAAGACTATAAAATAATTGTTTCGTTATCAGAGGAAAACACATGGTGTTGCATTTTAATCCGACAAAGTCTTCGGAAATAAAAAGACTCTCACTGGTGACACATAAAGCACGTTGGACCTTATTATCGACCATCACTGTAACCCCGAACGTCCAAAATAATTAAATAGATTAAGTAGTGTGTAAGAGCCATTTTGTTATTGTTTTGATTGTTAACCTCCCACCACTTAGGCGGGTGGAGCTATATTTCAATTAGGCAGCAAGGTCCAGAATTCCCTGCCACAGGTGTTGGTGTGTGTGGGAGGCAAAGAGTGTTTTGACCGCGGTACGTGGATGAGTGATCATGGAACATGAGCGTTACAGAGAGAACGTGGAATGTAAGCATGGAAGAGCGAGACTTAACGGAATCTGCGAAGATCCCTTGATAGTCGGAGCGTCGACTGGTGAGCCGACCGGACGGCAGTCAGGAGCTGCGACAGGAACCGCAGTCTGAGTTGCGGCCGTGGGAGCGGCCCGGACACGCGCACTGATAGACCGCTGCTCAAGCACCTGCCCTTTTTTCCTGGATGAGAAAAATGCCTCTTCTGCTGGAGCCCATTTATTTCATCAATGTTTAGGAATACAAATGACTCTTTGTCATCAATTCCCCCCCAAAATGTGTTTTGATATCTGACGGGGCATTTGTTTGAGTACTTGTGAGCATTTCGCCCCGACACGCCCCGCGGCGCTCCCTTCCCCTCCCGCTTGCTCTTCCTCGTGCTCGTGCAGCGCTGAGCGCCAAACGGCTGCAGCGTCAGACACGCAGGTAATGACGGTGTTCGTGGAATCCCCCCCGACGTTGTTTAGTGATAAATTAACCACCTCATTAGCGCCGCTGTAAACATTACGTTGCAAATGGTTCGACCTTTCCTAAAAAAATAAACAAACTAAAAACTCAGGAAATTCGTGATTTCTGAAAGATCGTGAACGTGAAATTGGAAGCCTGGTTGGGGACTGGAGGGATTCAGCCAAACAACTTCTCTCGTTCTGGTAGATTTATTTGTCAGATCAGGTCAAGTATAAGCGCTGCAGGCCGGAAGAACAACTGACTAACATAATGAAAAAAATACATTTTGTATTTCTTGTTAGATATAAAAGAAAATATTTCTATTGGCCCTAAACTGAACTGAAAGAGCTTTTGATTATCAAGATTATCATGCAAGCAGACAGGCAGAGAATTTGAAGGCAGTTTCACTGTTCTACAAATTAGACACGTTCACTAGTTTTGTTTAATGAAATTGTTGAAATGACAGATAGGTCTGAAGTTGAGCTACATGACATTAGTGTTTTGGTGTAATGCTGCTTATGCTTTTTTTTCTGTCAGAAAACAGTGGACAAAATGTGTGTGTTGTTGCCTTAATTATGTAAGGCACTATTGATTATAATACCACAACATTGATTTATCTCGTTTACAAAATTTGCAGCATAATGCCAAGAAAAGAGAGACTCCAAAATCACAAGGACGGGGAATATATCCTACTGTGTTTTTTAATTTTTTCATGTTATTGTTCATATTTTTATTTTCCTGAATAACTTTGGTGATGGATGCCTGTGGTGGCGGGCGTGGTTTGGTTCGGCTGCAGGGGGGACGGAGAAGGAAGTGGTTCAGGGAACAGTGCCGGGGGAGGCATAATCAGCCTCAAGTGGGACTAATCAATCTGTGTGTTTCTACCTGTTAAGTAGGAGAAATCCGGCGACAGCGGCAGAGTGCTGAGTGAGGCGAGGAGGCTGGAGCCGGCTGCAGCCGGCTGGAGCCGGCTGGAGGAGGCTGGAGGAGGCTGGAGGAGGCTGGAGCTGGCTGTCTATGAAAGTCTAATGCAAAGACTGAACATCAAAGGAAGAAAAACAAATATTAGTCTACCTACAATGGGTCACAGTACTACTGTAGCAAGTTCAAAGTCAAAGGCTTGGAAACCTCCAAATTTGCTGACCATCAGTTCTTTGAGCTTCCAAGTGTGTTTACTCAGAAGAAAATGCCAGTGCCAATACACAATATAGTCATTTCTGATGAATAGAGGGCTATTGCACGAAACCAGGATGAGGGATTAAGCCGGGATATTCACGTTATCCTGGGTGAATTTAGCTTTGACTTGGTTGCACAAAAGCAGGTTGAATTAAACCCAGCTGTAACCATGGCGATTTATTCTTATTTCCAGGCTAACAGCCAGGCTAAGATTAATCCGGGAGTCTCATGTGTTAAATCAGCTGCCGCTCTGATCCGAAACAAACGTATTTAACAGTTATTCCGTTGTCTTCTGAATGTGTTCGGATTTATATTTATTAACATGCATTACTTGTCACTATTGCTGTCACCAGTTTGATTTTAAACCCTACTATTGCAGTTGTTTTTGATCAGTATCCCCAACCTTTTTACCGTTGTCATGTCACACAATATTTCGCGGACCGTTCAAGAAGGTCAGGCGGATAATAAACACGTCGAGGGGTTAATAGTCGTTGCGGGCAGACCGACCGACGTGGGGGGAGTGTGTCCACTGGTGGGCGAAACTGACACGCAGTGAGGAGTGAACAATTGTAAACGCTGTACGCTCAAAGCGAGAGCTGTGTTCGGGTGCTCGGTCAAAGGGGGTTTCCGGTGGAGGTCGTCCTTTATTGTTTCTGTGGTGTTGTTCAATGTTACGCATGCCAGTTGATTGTCATTCATGTTGAACCCATAGGAAGCCCTATGTTGGTAGGCTGGGGACCAATAGGATGAGGGAATGAATGTGGGGTGCGGGGATTCAGTTATCCGATGACTGCGAAGAATAAACAAAATAAACGCACTTTACTGAGCAAACACGACCGTTTCCACTGTGAAATTGCTTGTCTCAACAAAAGAGACGCTTTAGATAGATAGATACTTTATTGATCCCTCAAGAGGGAAATTTTGGTATCACAGCAGCATGTACAGGGAAGAAAATAGAATAAAAAGATACACATTATATACAATAAGCTAGAAATATTAAATTATTAAATGAAATTAAGTTAAATAAACTAAAATTGAAACAAAAGAATAACCTTCCAAAAGAGACAATAATAATTATT